TTATGTTATTATTATTTGCTGAGCCAACTGCTTGAGAATGTATTAGCTAAACGTCGTGGGGAAACTCACTACAGGTGCATCGTTCTGTAAAGCAATTACGAGAGACTATGCCTATAAAATAAACAAAATATAAACCATTTCGTAAACACAATATTCACATGCGGAATAAAAAGAAAATTATATAATTATTGGCATAATATCCAGCTGCCTCTTCGTTATATCGTAATCCATGTCTTGGCCCATAAAAGAGCTTTAAAAAGCGCCGTGTCCAGGTAACAGGTTAAACTCATCACAGGCCGTAAAAAGCGACAATGCTTGTAAGAGTCGACTAACGGGATCGGGTGGTCAGGCTCGTTGACTTGGTTGATGCTTGTCATTGTATCCCAATTGCGGTGTTAAAAAAACAAGCAAGCAAGCAACCATTGTAAATGGTCAATAACTTACCCTGAATAGTCAAAAACATACCTAAAATATCCAATCAATAGAGGTTTTACTCTATTCCTACTAAAACAGCAAGATAAAATGTTGCTGTACAACATTCCTAGTTTCGGTGGCGACACAGTTCTCTGAACTTATTTCGAACCTTATGAAACTGCTTCAAATGCCAAAAATCACCACAGATTCTGAACAAATAGATACTGAATAAGCTACGGCGTCAACGTTTAATATTTATATTGATCTTGTCAAGAGCTTACGATGTTGCACCAACATAGCTATAAGCCCCTACCATCCTGATATGCATGGTGTGGTATAAGGCAACCAACTTCATGGATAGTCAAAAGTTTTTAACAAAGTTTTAACAACAGAAAGTAAATTTAATTATGTTAACATTATCCACTGTTTTCCTAAATTGAAAATGAGGATTCATACTACAAAACAGGTAAACGATCTTTGTTACAACGAAAACAGTTACGGGTGGGCAATGCGTTTTTTCTGTCTGACTGCTTTAGTCTTTTCACTTCCGGTGGGAGATTTCAGGGCAGAATCTGTCTCCAGTAACGAGTTCTTGTGTGAGGTGACTTCACTCATTGGGTGGTCGGAATCGGTGACTTCGGTGACTGTATTATTGTACCCTGACGATCAAGACTTGTTTACATACAGACAACGACCCGTGAAGATCCGGGGTAGAATAGGTCTTCAGCAACCCATGCTTGCCGTGAAAGGCGACTATGCTTGTCGTAAGAGGCGACTAGCGGGATCGGGTGGTCAGGCTCGCTGACTTGGTTGATGCACGGTCACCGATCCCAATTGCGTGGATCGATGCTCATGATATCAATCACTGGATTGTCTGGTCCAGACTCGATTATTTACATCCTGCCGTCATATAGCTGGAATATTGCTGAGTGCGGCGTAAAACAACAAACCAACCTACCAACATACAGACAACTGTGATAAAGCTGGAAATTGCTGACCTCGGGTTTCACTCACTCACTCACCATAGGCTGTCCCCTTTCTTATTAGGTTGAAGTTGATACATTGTCTTTTTGTTCTATCTTTCTTTTAAATGTTGTCAAGTTAACGGCGATATGACCATAACTATTTTTGATAAAAAATATTAACATGGCCATACCCATGAACATATTTGTCACTTGCAGTGCTTCATTCGAGCAGACAAGCGTTGTTCATTTGTGAAAGAATTTCTAATAATACTGTTGTAAAATCTGAAGTTCTTTCTTTGCGCTGGCACTGATTGCTCACTTCTGATAGAATTTCTAATAATACTTATGCGGAATCTGAAGTTCTTTCTTTGCGCTGACACTGATTGCTCACTTGTCACAGAATTTCTAATAATACCGTTGCGGAATCTGAAGTTCTTTCTTCATGTTCTTTGCGCTGAGATTGATTGCTCACTTGTGACAGAATTTCTAATAATACTGTTGTGGAATCTGAAGTTCTTTCTTCATGTTCTTTGCGCTGACACTGATTGCTCACTTGTGACAGAATTTCTAATAATACTGTTGCGGAATCTGAAGTTCTTTCTTTGCGCTGGACTTGATTGCTCACTTGTGACAGAATTTCTAATAATACTGTTGCGGAATCTGAAGTTCTTTCTTTGCGCTGGACTTGATTGCTCACTTGTGACAGAATTTCTAATAATACTGTTGCGGAATCTGAAGTTCTTTCTTTGCGCTGGCACTGATTGCTCACTTGTGACAAAATTTCTAATAATTCTGTTGCGGAATCTGAAGTTCTTTCCTTGCGCTGACACTGATTGCTCACTTGTGACGAGGTTTTCTACTATTACCGTTTAGGAATGTAAAATTTGGGCAGGTTGCCCAGTTGTAATATATCTGTTCGCGAATTTGACAGTTTGTATAGTGAAAACGAGAATTTGCAGTCGTACAAGTCTAAAGTTGAGTGTACAGGTTAACACACAGTTCTATTCCACTGCAGTCCGTCCGACCAAGAGTTACCACCCCTGCACAGCATCGCTACATTCGACTGTACCACCTAAGTCACCGCAATGCCATAGCTAAGGAGACTGCAGCACGCATCCCTGTTTTGAGGAGGATATCGGACCTGACTGTCAGGGACCATCTTCGCGAGGCTGGAATCCGACCCAGTTATCGTCTCTGTTTTGCAACTGATCCAGCGACAGCGACGCTTGCGTTGGTGCCATACCTTACAGCCTTGGAATTTGGGAAATAAGAGACGAGTGTGGTATAGCGATGAATCACGATTTCTTTTTCACCGGCGAGATCGAAGAAGTGTTTATCGTCGTCGAAATGAGCGTTTTGCCCCACATTGTGTACTTGAATTCGACAAATTCGATGGCGGGCGTGCCACGGTGTGGGGGGACTTATCCCAAACCACGAGATGTGACTGGTTTGTGGTTCAGGGATATTTTACAGCAAATCGCTACATGAATCAAAGTCTTCAACCTTCTTCCAATCATTGACCGTCGGAGGGAGCTATTTCAACAGGACAAGGCTCCACCGCACACAGCTCGTGTCACGGTAGACTACCTTCATAGTGCCAGCATCAACGCCTTTCTCTGACACCTCTGGGATGAACTCGATCGACGTGTACGTCAACGTCAGAACACGCCGCAGACACTCCCACAACTGGCCAACGCGTTACAAGCAGAATGGCGCAGAATTCCGCAGGACAGAATTCGTACACTTAACCAGTCAGTGCCGAGGAAATGCAGAGCCGTGATTGCTGCCCGGGGCGGTCACACGAGATACTGAGTTCAGCGCAACCTTTGTAGCCCTATGTAACGATGATGATCAGTTTTCAATGCGTTTGTACAACGACAACATGTTACTATCGAGCTCCTAAATTTCATATTTGTATCTATGATATTAAATCAAATATATCGACTTTATCAGGTACAATAAATTTACTAAAAATCTACCTGTGCGTTTCTTTTTTTGAAGAGTGTATATAAATTTTCGAGTCTGGACCAGACAAACCAGGGGAACGAGTAATTTACCAAGTCACCACTACTGGCTCGTACACTTGGTCGTCTCTTACAAGCCTGGGTTTTTGTGGACCAATTCTAACCCACAATGTATTCACACACTTGCGAAAACGATACTTGCATCTTTAGCTCGAAAGTACTAAGTAAGGTATGGAAGACTTTTAGGGCCATTGTTTCCCCTTGATATTTCAATATATACTAAGTTGAAATTTCAAGATACTAAGATGAAATTTCAAGATGCTAACTTGATATTTATAGATGGTATGTCGAAATTTCAAGATACAAACTATGATGAATTTTCATGTTAATATCTTTAAAAAATTAAACTTTTTTTTGAAATTTCAAGATCATGCACTTGAAATTTCAACATAGCATCTTGAACTTTCAATTTAGTACCTTAAACATATGGCCCTAAAAGGCTTCCGTAAATACACGATACAGAATATGAAAGCTTGACACATAGTACATTATAGGACCCGTGAAGATCCGGGTTAGAATAGGTCTTCATGAACAAGCCATGTTTGTCGTAAGAGGCGACTCACGGAATTGGTTGGTCGGGCTCGCTGTACTGGTTGATGCACTTCATCGTATTCAATTTGCGTGGATCGGATGCTCATGATATCAATCACTGGATTGCTTGGTCAAGATTCGATTATTTACATACCACCATAATTTTTGTTTGAATATTAATTGCTGAGTGCGGCGTTAAACAACAAACAATAAAACAATGAAAGACCCTTTTTTTAAGAGTACATTTTGTTTCAAACAATCATAAATGGTGTTGTAATAAACCATTTAATAAATGCACAAATAATAACCACTGTTCAAAATAAATAATAACAGGCAATGGGTCTATAATATCTTATAAATGTAATTTATGGAATTCGTTTTCAAACATCAACTCTTAAATGAAATCCAAATTGAAGATGTTTTTCCACAAAATATGCAACGGTTGAAAGGAACAACTCATAGGATATAGAAAAATGCAAACATCATTTGTGTGAGTGAGTACATATATCTATTTATCTGAGATTTTCTTTCGCTATTGATACAGACGGATATGCAAATGCATCATTGGGCATAATTATATTGCTTGGGCCAGAGACCGTCTCCGCTTGGACATATTTTTTTTTCAACTTAAAGAAAGAACATGCGACTAAGATACAGCATTATTCACTTGTAAGTTATAAACTACTGTGCGTCTAACCTTTCGACATACAAGTAAACATCATACGATGTATTTTTTTCTGCCCACCCTCTCAATCCATGCAAAATCATCCAAACGTGGCTTGGCCCTGAATGTGAATAAATAATGTTTCAAGCTCACGCCATATCGGATGAAGATACTATTTCCCGCAAAGAACATTGTATATATGAATAGTATATTTTAACTACGATACAAGTATTTTAGTGAACAGTCCATTAAACAAATATCACATTATATGATATAAACTATATTCTAAAATGGTATTTACATAGAAGTATTAATGCATATAGCATTCTTTTTGCAATATTAATAAACTTATAAATGGCATAAGTCTTTGTACAAGTTACTCTGCATTGACCGGAAGCAAAAGATCGTTTTGACAACAAACTCAGATGTGCACATGTTTCTCGTGTACTTAATAGATTTAATAGTTTTGGCTGAGAAAGGTAATGCGCCATTAATTCGAATTATTTGTATAATTTTATTAAGTAAATGCTTATGTGTCTGTGTGGAGTTAAGGTATAAAAACATGAGTGTACTGTAAAAAGACTATGTTTATAAGCCGGTTGACCTGTTGTCTGGGACAAAAATAAGCTTCAACAAACGTGCGTTATAACAGCCTGTTTACAGGTAAATAAACTTATTCATGCACTCTGTTATGAACCACTAGGAACTGCAATAAATCAAAATTACTCTTATTTTTAGAATTGATGTTCAACGGTCAGAAGCATCAAGAGGGTTATTAAACCCCAAAGCAAGGGTGGGCGTGACCATTTCAAAGTGATACCTATTTGAACAGGCTCTAAATAAATAACACGAAACTCGAATGGAGTGAACATAGTGGTATAGATTTCATCAATAGTAACTGACAGTTGTCAGGCTTTTTCAAAGTATAGTTCCGAAGCATTGATGCCTCTGCCAATGCGGGCTCTGTATCGCTGTATCTGTAAATCTCGTTATTATCGACCACCACTGTTTACTTATGCAAATCTAAGCACAATATTTCATCATTTGATTGAACACAGGACTCGTTGCGGTTTGTCACGTCTCCTCATACGTATACCTGTTAACTTTTTTATGATAGTTTCTGGAATTTCTTGAAGTTGAATTGCCCCTACCTCCATTCAGAATTGGTTAGAAAAGAACCCATTTGTTTGGACGTTGTCCCTTGACCTAACCTAGGTCGAATGCATACTGAATATGCATAATCCAAAACAGGAAGTGATGTAAACCACATAATCCACATGTATCACACCACAAATAGTGATACTGAGATAATATAGAGTTGCCAGCCCTCGAGTCGCTAATGACAGGTACTTTGTTTACCGAACTTGGTAAAGAAAATCATCATTGATAAATCCTAAATGATGGGTCATAAAAGTTAAACAGAGAACAAGAAACATTTTGAGTATGAAGTATTTAATAGGTTTAATAAGCATTTGCCATTATGATCCATTATTAATTAATTACCACAATAATATAGTGTGCCATGATACTGCAGTTATAGATGTATTGGTCACATCAGTATATGGTCTCTCCATGGTCGATATGGCTGAAATATTGCTGATGTGACGTAAAGCATTAACTCACTCACTCACTCTCTCCATGGTAATGTTTATTCTACATTGCAATATATAAACAGATGTCCGTATTGTGGTATGTGCTTACAGCTACATTTTATTGACACAGTGCCACTGGATAAGTTTCAGACATTCCTTAATAACTGTGTTTGAACAAAATGTAACAGGTGCTACATTATCATGGTCACCATTGTTCTTCTGTATGGATACGATGAAGTAGCAGGTTTCACGTGACTATACTCGGGTGTTATAAAATCAAAATGAAAAATTTGGACATTTTGATTCGTAGTATACCAGTTCATGCGAAAGACATATGCCAATGTGTATTGTTCTAAATTCCTATTGTGGTATATATCATGGTTATGCAGGGTTCTACCTTGACCTACAAATCTAGAGGTCCAGAGGAACCCCAATTACTAATTTCTAGTTTTTTTAAAGGAAATATGAGGGTCCTGTAAAGGAATGAAATGATGTAGAGTTCTGTAAGATTTGATAATTACTTTAGTTACAGGACATTTGTATTTCTTGTCAAGAATTTGGTACTATGATTATCATTGTGTGTCCCTTTGGAAGCCATATATTTTTGTGTCTGCCTCCATTCTGTTTTACTTGTGTGTACTGGACGCACATTTATACATCGTGTAAAACCCTGGTTATGCACCTCGAAATATTACTCACATTTTAAAAGAAACCATGTTTAATAAGCTGTATTTACCACAAGGGATTTATCTAGGCTGCTCAGAGGAAGGTATTTGGCCCCATGTCTGCAGCCAGTTCCAAATTGGAATGACAAGTTTATACCAAATTCATGTAGTTATTGTTATGACCAGTTATGTCTAATGTTGTTTCTTTGTCAAGGTGACTTGTATTTGACTGATAGCAGGGCCAATAAAAATGAATGAAAAAAAACTGACGAAAGAAGTACTTAGTTATACACTGCTGCATTCCTCCATCGCTCGTACTTGTCACTACTGGGGGTTTCAGATCAACCCGTTAGGAAACACTGCCAGTGTCCATTCACTCTGTGGGAAACAGCGCCAACACCTTCAGATCAAGATTTGAAAGCAAATCTCTTCCTTCATCATGATTTAGGGAGGGTCGGGTCACCTAATTGTTAAAAGCGTAAAAAAAACCATACTCGCTCATCATGAGTTATGGGTAGGGTAGAGGTGACAATTTGCTTTGTGTTCTGCAGGGCTCCAGATGTGTTTTGGCCATTGAGTACTTACTCACCAGTTATCATTCACATTTGGTATTGATTTCTGTGGGTACTCCTTTGGGTCTGTTGTTTTAGGTATTTTTTACACCAATAAGTCGACATTTTGTTAGATAATTCTGCTTAAATGCTGTTTCATGTTGCATAAACTCACAGCAGTGATATACATGTCCATTCACGATAAGTGAGATTTTGTGTTAATGCACTATTTTCAACAGTTGACTTGAGTTCATATATGCCAATGGGCCAAAAAGTAACACTGCTTCATGTAAATGTTATTATGTTATTTAGGATAACTACGGTACTAAATATGCGGTCATTCATCTGATCAATGTTTTATCACAACGAATTCATTAACAAAACTCATACTTGGTAAGAGGAGACAGAGTGGAACACCCTAAAAAGGGGGTGGTGTAACAACTCAATTAACAACGTCATTATCGGGTGTGACTACCTTTAGCATTGATACTGTCCAGGCAGTGGTGGTGCATTGAAGACACAAGATGATTGAAAATAGCCTGGGGATGTTGTTTGATATGTCAACCAAAGATTGGCCCAACTGAGCTAAAGTTACTGGCTGGTTCTGGTCCTGTCGTAGGCATCGTTCCATCTCATCCCAGACATGTTCTGTGCGTGAGAGATCTCGAAAAACAGCAGGCCATGGCAGTGCAACAATGTTATGCTGCTTCAAAAAGTCTGTTACAACACGTGCCAAGTGTGGGCAGACTTTATCCTGTTGCAACGTGACGTTATGTCCCTGCACAAAGGGTAGAACATGATCTCTGACGATGTCATCCGGGTTGCATACACCATTCAAATTGTCATTAACAAAGATGAGATGTGTTCTCCCATGAGTTGTGATGCCACCCCATACCATTACACTTCCTGTTGCTCTGTTAAGTGTTGACCCAAGTCATACCAAAAGACCAACGTTCAATGGGTGTTGCTGGTACCTAAGACCATGGCAACATTTATTCAATATGTCTTTAAGTGATCTATGCTCGTACTATGTTAAAAAAATAACTGATTTATTTGACAATAGTGGATGGAAACAAGACATTGGCATACTTTAAAGAGTATACATTCTCCGACACATTTTTATCATGTTCATGTCCCTGATAAGCTGAAATATATCGCTGGCTGTGGTGTTAACACTATCTTGTCTAGTCGATACTCGGGGCGGTTGAGTAGCCTGGTGGTTGGTTAAACATGTTAAAGGGTTTGCTCGACACGCTGAAGACCTTGGTTTGTTTCCTGACATGGGTACAATGTGTGAAGTCCATTTCTGGTGTCCTCCGCCATGATATTGCTGGAATATTGCTAAAAGTGGCATAAAACCTCACTCACTCACTTAAAGGACCCTGTCATCATTTGATTTGTTATATGAAATCACATTGCAGGCCTTGAAATTTATAAACAATATTAGGTGTGCCATTTTCAATATAGGTATAATTTGTCTATAATAATCAATCATTATAACAAATAGCGATTGTTTGCTAGGTTTTTCACAACAGTCAACACAAATAACCACTCACATATGAAATGTAAGACCAATGTAATATTTGTGATATTCTGACAAAATACGGAAACACGTGATTACATTCAAATGTATTTCGTGCAGTCTTTAGCGTCTCATCAGACATCTGTAACATACATTCAGTGGACTGCAAATAAATATTTTTTAAATAAAATGAAAATGACCTTGCCCACAGGGCACTGTACATAAAATTCAAGCGTGCCATTTCCTATTTTATGTGTGCCCGAGTATGGCGGCACTGTATATGTGAGCCCTGAACTGACAGCCTTCTGGTTAAATAGCTGCTGGAATGCAGCAGGGATTTTAAAAAAAAAAGAAGCACTCCTGACATGACTCTTTGAATTCAGAGTTAACAAAATTAGTTCGCAACATTTCAGTGCAAACATTAGTCCAGATTAACAATGAACAATTTTTTTATTACCAGATATTATAACAATAGGATTAAATTGCGTATTTCAGTTCGGATTTATTGACTGGTATTTCTGGTGTTGCGCAGTGATCAGCTGATGATGTTTTCTGAGATGGGGGGAAAACATTGTGTCATTGGAAAACTTTAGTTTATTTAAAATGTTAGTAAATTTTGGAGCCATTCTTTACCGCATGCTATAACCGTGTTAGCGCTATATTGAAGCGTGCAATAACAAGGGAACACTGAACGTAACAACTTGTAATGTGTGTGAAAAGTCGTACTAAAATACGCTATTTGAAGGGGGCGTGGCCTAATTGCAAATGTCTGATTGGGATTTTAAGTTTTCCGGACCCCTGATTAAAACGAAGGATTTTTATTTCACTGCAGGGGGCTTGTCAGTTTACTCATATTTCCTTCGATCATTTTTTCTATCTTAAAAAAATTGTGGTTAGATGTACATGATAAAGGCAAGCTGACATCAATATGTGGTTTGTTATATGAAATAGCATTTTGACTGCCCCATTTTTGTAAAACATGTCACTTTCATATCAGTGAAATATACAATTAGTGTCAGTGCTTGGAGGTGTTCATTACTGTGTGGGCATTGCAGACAGTTTTTATAGTGCAGGAGTTGTCAGTATCTGAAAAGGTTTAATTAGCCAGCAGTTGTGCATAGCACAATGATTGTTTTGATGCTAGTCATTTATGCACCATTTTCATTTGAAATATGACACATCAGTAAGTGATAAAATTAGTTTAAATGGTTGAATGTTTATAACACATCAATTTGGTATGGTTCAAATTAGACTGCCCCTGTCTCTATTTCAGTCAGTTGTTTGTTGGTGTTGGTGAGAAGGTTGGCAAATATCAGAGGAAGGTATTGAATGACAGGCTTCCATTTGATGCTTGCTGGGCTGCTGTGTTAGAGAAACGGGATAGCAGTGTTCCTGTCTCTTGGTTCATGTTGAAAGTGTTTCGGTGGTTGGCACAGGTTGGTGGTATTTTGATTTGAATACTTACAATTGACCTTAGAAAAGATGGACCAGGTATCTAATAGCTACATGTGACTTATGGGGTTGTTAGCTGAGTGAAGGACCTAGCACCCTGGGAATGTGAAACATCACTGTGTTCATTTTAGGTGGGGCAGTGGGTAGGCTTGTGGTTTAAGCGTTCACTGAAGACCCAGGTTCTATTCCCCACATGGGTACAATGCGTTAAGCATACCATGTCTTGTTATTTTACTTTGTCGTGTGTTTGCAGTGTATAAACCTCCCCCAAATTTCAGTTAGACAACCGGACTGGCAACTTTGCACAGTTACCAGATCAAATAAAATGTTGCCAGTCCAGAATGTTCTAGACTTATGAATAAAAGTAACAAGAGGGTAAAGATATAAATACTGTGTCAGAAACTTGATAGCAACATGCACGGAAGTGACTGAATAGGGTGTTTAACATTTACAGTTAATTTAAGATAAAAATACTATGTCAGAAACTTGATAGCAACATGCGCGGAAGTGACTGAATAGTGTGTTTAACATTTACAGTTAATTTACCTCTTACATTAATTGAAGATGCGGTATAGAGTACTGTAATAGGCAGTGCAGATTTTGTAATTTACAGGAAATTGAAGATGAGTTTCATTTTATGCTTGTCTGCCCATGTTACAGATATTTAAGAAATAAGTATTTACCTATTTATTACTCTTCCAATCCTACTTTATTTAAATATAATACACTATTATCTTGTAACCGCACTAGTATTGTAACTAATTGTGTTAAGTATATACTGGAAGCACTTGCAATCCAAAATACAGTCACTTAATATCCTCTGTCATCTGCCTCATGCTGTATTTTTCAGTGAGTATTTGTACGTGGGCCTATGGCTTTTATACTGAAATAAAGAATTGTACATTAATTAAAACTAGAATGCTTGGGTCATTTAGGGAATACAACAGTAGCCCAACCAACTTTTCAAAACAGACTCTGTCAGCAAAGTAGACTATCTCCGAGTGTTGGCAGTCAGGCATGCTAGGTAACCAATACAGTTAGTTGTGAGTTTTGTTTGAAATATGCAATATGAAAAAACACAGTCTAATTATACTCATCAATGAGCAAAAGAAATGTGCTAAGTTTCTGAAGGGATAGTGATGGTTGGTTGGTTTGTTGTTTAACGCCTCACTCAGCAATATTACAGCTATATGACGGCGGTATGTAAATAATCAAGTCTGTACCAGACAATCCAGTGATTGATATCATGAGCATCAATCCATGCAGTTGGGATCGATGACTAACGGTATCCGGTGGTCAGACTCGCTGACTTGGTTGATGTATGTTATCGTATCCCAATTGCGTGGATCGATGCTCACGATGTCAATCACTGGATTGTCTGGTCCAGAGTTGATTATTTACAGACCACCATCATATAGCTGGAATATTGCCGAGTGCAGGGTTAAACAACAAACAAAACATGTGTTCTATGATGCGAAGACCATGTGATATTAGGATATAAGACTTAACATTCAGTCAAAGAAATACAGTTATCTTTTTTTTAAATTTATAAATACAAAATGCATCACTTCCTTCTTTCCTCCCACATTCAGATGCCGTGATATGACTTGAATACTTTTCAAAGGGGCGTTAAAACCAACTCACTCACTCTGTTGATAATCTTGTTGTCCTTTTAAAGAAATGATCAGTTATGTTTTGCTGGAGACAAATGGTGTAGGGACATTTTGATGATATGCTCATCTTTTTATAGGAAATTTTTGTATATAATTAACAAATTGGAAAACATCTTTAATACATTTTGAATGACAATGAGTCAATGTCGTTGAAAAAGTAACTGATATGATTGTGACCTTGACCTTGACCTTAACCCTTCAGGGTAGATAACTTTGCCCAGCATGCTGATGATGTGATCAGACATGTGTCTCTGTAGCTATCAGCTGGTAGACTCACGACACAGACCATGGCCCTCTTGTCTGAGGGATGGTAGTATGTGCACCCGCTGTCTCGTACCGATGTCTGTGAGTGAATGAATGAATGTTGTTTAGTGCCACAGTCAGCCACATACTAGCCATCTCAAGTCTGGGACTATTTACACAGTAACATGGTTTGATTGTACCCCAACTGCGTGGACCTATGCTCGTAATATCAGTCACTGGTTTGTCTGGTCCAGACGGAGGCTATGCACCTGCTGTCATATTGTTTGATCATTGCTGCTGTCCTGAACAACAAGCACAGGAAAGACCTCCCATGGTGATGAGATGTGGTTGAGATTTCCTTCATGTTTCACTAGGGTCGGTGAGGTAGCCTAGTGGTTAAAGCATTCCCTCTTCACGCCGAAGACCAGGGTTTGATTCCCCTCATGGTTACAATGTGTGAAGCGCATTTCTGGTGTCCCCCTCCGTGATATTGCTGGAATATTGCTGGAATATTGCTGGAATATTGCTGGAATATTGCTGTAAGCAGAGTGAAACAATGCTCATGTTACACTTAATCAAATGCTATGTGTGTTGAAGATTTGATGGGAAACGACAGTCACAATCCTGTTTATGTCCACAGATAGAGGAGCAAGCAGGGCCGTCCGACATGGCTGAGGACGGTAAAGACAAGGTGACGTTTGACCTTGGAGAATCAACAGGGGACGATGATGCTGGTTCCTCGGTGGATGAACACGAACAACCAGAGTCTGAGAGACGAGATTCCGTTTCGGAAATTATAAGAAGGAAGCCGTCCGAGAGTGATGACAACCGGGACTCGGAGTCGTCCTTCTTCTCCAGCCCCGAGGCACACAGTCCCAAAGCCCAGATGAGGTGAGAGTTTAACCTATTGCATGCTAGTTATGTGGCACACTTGGCCTTGTCGAATTTGCCCTGCAGAGTTGTGTCCCTTAGGTGTGCCACAAAACTTTGATCGTGGGTTTGAATAAGCATGACAATATATGCAATCCATTTGAAAAAAAACTTTTCTTTTCAACACCCTCACAATTGGATTGATGTGGTTGAAGAATGAACTTGTCGTTCGAATAAACACTCAAAATAATGCATTTATTTTATTTCCCATTTCTGTGCCATCACTTTGTGGACCAACAGTTTTGTTCAGTATTAAGGCCCAAAAACTACATAGTCACTACTAATACTTTGATGACGCATCACCAGGGACATATTTATACTGGAAATGGGGGCACGGGTGGCCCATTCGTCTAAGGCGCCGCGATTCGCTGTGCAGAGTTGCGTCCCTTGGGCACGCCAGAAACCTATGGTTGTGGGTTCGAATCCCGGTTTGCCCCGATTATGTTTCTAGGTTTGTCAGCACCATACCCGTGCCTGTGGGTTTACAAGATGATACACTTGCTAAAATAGATTTGTCACTACTTGTTTATGACCCCTGGATCTTCGGCAGTCAAATATCACATAATGTGGTGTAATAAGTGTACTACTAAAACTGACGCCATGAACTTGTGTCTCCGGCTAACTTTTCCTTTTGAACCGGCTCTGAAATATTTATGGTCAAGAAACTTCCACCCAGTTTGATGTAGATATGCATATCGCGATACGTATCGTATCGTATCGTATCGTATCGTATCGTATCGTATCGTATCGTATCGTATCGTATCATGACCTTGCTGTGTTGTTTCACCCCCAGTGTCATCCTCCATACTGAGTATAGGAATCTGTCTGGAACTGCTCAGAGGCTGATGAGGCTTAAAAAAATAATAGAATTGGTTCTCAGGCAATGACTTTTGAAAATATACTACGGGTTGGCGGTTGTTTTTATTTTTTTGCTTGTTCAAAATGGTATGTAATCAAATAAACAGTGTTGTACCATAACAAGAGGGAAGGGAAAGGGAAGTAACTGTGTGCTATATTGATATTGGATCACATTGTTTTTAAGTCTTAGGATTTTTAATTATTTCTTTGAAAATGGAAATAAAAAGGAAACGTGCGCTTGATTTTATGATTATGCGGGCAGTGCCTGAGGACCAAGACTATTTATCTTTTTTAGCCTCATCGACCCCATGTCAGCTGCAAATAGGAATTATGTATAAGTTCTGAATTGGAATTATACGATGAATATTATGGTAGGGTCTAATATTAATATGGCTTTGTATTAGATGACCTGTATTTCACTGATATAAGGACTGATAAAGACTCATTAATAAATTGCATTGAATACAATGTTAAAATACCTCTGAATTTAATGTGGTCGGGGTGGAGACAAAATCCTCCCAATTTACCTGCCAGGGGCACATGGTTTAGAGTCGTAGATATATTTGTTGTGTTTTTTTCCTGTTGTTTAGATATTTTGTCAATAATATTGGCACACTATTATGCACAAGTAAAAATTATACACACAGATAGATGAAACACACTGAAAGTAAAATTTGTGAAAGCTTCGATACAGTCAGCTGTGTCCTAAATGCCTGTTGTCCAGCTGATCTAGATGTAAATCTGACATTGTAACAGCGTGAGGCATGTCACCTTGGTTTGCTGCTCAGTTGGATCGATCTGTAAAAAAATTACATTTAGTTGGATAGTAGGGCTGGGATGGGTTATTCGGGTACTCCGTCGTGTGGGTACTGAGTAGGACCCCGGTACCCACAAGACTACCTGTACCCGTGGTTAGTCACGTGATTATATGGCAAAAATTATCTAGAATACTATGGTTACACTATGAGTGACAAATGTTCACGTTTCTTTCTGACTATGCACACATTCCTTCTGAATTTGCATCTTTGCGTAAAGATATAACTTCAGTCACCTTCAGAGTATGCATGACTAGATTTATACGTGTATCTTAATACATTTTGACAGGAGTACGGTCAAACGTTTTCCAATCGGACATTTTGTACCTATCTCTTGAGACCTACAGCAGGTCCCTGGGGGGTGGGTAATAGGAGGGTGGTTCCCCGGGTAGTAAATTAGGACTTGTCCCAGCCCTATTGGATAGTCATGATAACAATTTATGTGGTTGACATGTTTAAAAATATTTTGTGTTGTGCATTTTCTATGAAGAAAAAAGCCTGTATCACCTCATGTAGAATGTGCCCTTATTGAGTCATGATGATCATGATGATAGTTATGACTCCACGTTTGAAGTGTTTACATGTGTCATAGTGTCATAGAAGAAAAGGCTGCCAAATTTAATTTCAGAGATGATCCTGATCGGTAAATTGTTTTGTTAAAAGTTTATGTTTAGTTTGATATTTGTTGTTATTAGTTAAATTGTTGATGACAAGTTTGACAGTGCCTGTTGAATTTCTTGTTCCACCTTGTGTTTGACAAGTAGTGCCCATGGGCACCACAGATAGAATGTGTCCCCACCACGACATTGCTAGTCATTAGAGGGAGGTTAGTTGGGAGCGCGTGAGAATAGGTCACCTGAAGCCTCAGAGGTGACTTAATGGATTGGTGGTCAGGCTTGCTGACTTGGGTGATAATATGTTTCATCGTACCCAACAGCGTAGATCACTGCTCACAATGTCAATCACCTGATTGTCTGGTCCTGGTCTGATTATTTACAGACTGCCCTCATATACCGGCAATATTGTTGGGTGCTTTCTCGAGCTCTGGTCGGGTGGGTCCTGAGTAGGACCTGGGTACCCACAGGACTACCCAGACCCCTGGTTAGTCACGTGATATTTTGTTTATTAACAAAAACCCACTATAGCTCAGTGGTTACACTACAAGTCGCTTATGTTCGCATTTCTTTCTGACGATGCACACATTCCTTTTGACTTGTAAATGTTTGAGTAAAGATAAAGCTTCAGTCAACTTTAGTGTAAGCATGATCTGATCGTTTGATAAGGTGTCAATGTTCATGTTGATAGGGAATTAGCTCTTGGGGGAATGAAGGACAAAATCGACATAACTGTCCTGAAACGTTTATGCACAACATGTAAACAATAAACAACAAATACACAATGAGCGGAATACTTGCTCTGACATGAGCGATGAGCGGACCTTCCAGCTCAGGCATACAAGAGGTGAGTGGAGCTCCAGCTCACCTCAGGACGTTTCCTACGAGCGGCACATCCTGCTCGAGATCGTCCCTACACCAGCACTCGGAATACCAAGCTTGACTAACACCATGTAATGGTAACACATATATAGTAAGGAACAACAATGGACAGATGAACCAGTTCAGGGTATGATCAATTAAGGCAATATATGTCATACTAAAAAAAGCAGTAGTTAACGGGAAGTGACATGGTAGTCCAGGCTGACTGACAGTCAAAATGCAATGAAATGTTGGTGAGGATTAACAACGGGGATTAGTCTCTTATAAATAATGACAATTAAGTTATGGAGACGTGCACATGTCATGGCTACAGGGTAATAAGCCTTTGGAATCAAATGTTTTTCAGACAATGGTTGTCGTTAATCAGTCGCTATGATACATGTATCTAAATAATTTGGGTCAGGGATGCGGTAAAACAATTCCCAATCAGACATTTTGTTCCCAACTCTTGAGACCTGCAGTGGGTACCCGAGTAGGGTCGGGTCATAGGGGATTGGGTACCCGGGTTGTAGATTTGGACTCGTCCCAGCCCTAGTGTGAAGCCCATATCTCATGGTGTCCCCCGCCGTCATATTGCTGGAATGTTGCTAAAAGCGGAGTAAAACATACTCACTCACTGAAAATGCCTTAATAGTACAACCAGCTGGTTGAATTGTCGCTGATATCAGGATTGCCTTATTATGTTTATCACAAGTTCCTGAAACGGTACCACTGCATTATTTGGCAAGTGTTGCTATGGAGTTTGATTGGACTTCGTCGGAAATTAAGTGATTATTTTGCATGTTTGTGACACTTGAAAGGGCATCTGTGATAAGAAAGTACAGAGACTTGTACAGAGGACATACAAGACTATTTTACCAGACCAAACATTTTAAAGGTTAAGACTGCTGTGTGTTCTCACTCAGACGAACCTGGAGTCCTCAAATCTACAGGTAACACAGCTCTACATTGAAAACAATGTTTATGTCCGTATGTATACACGCAGTCCCTATTGATTCATCTGTTTAGTGTCACATAGAAAAGTAAAAAAATCTTTTGTGTAGACGTAGCGTAGAAAAATACCATTGTAGGAATATCATTGTCTAACATCTAGTCTCCGAAATGAACATGTTTTACAGAAGAAAAAAACCAGTTGTTAAATTAACTTCATAAAATATAATAAAAAGGAGCCCAGAGACTCTTCCTTTTAAGACTGAAACTGCAGTAATCTAGACTTGCCCACAAGTATAGACTTGCATGGGCTGTATTGGATATATATAGCCATAAATGTAATGTATTTATATGTGCTACACTAAAAAGTGAGCATGGTGAGGACAATAGTCTTTTCATATTCATGCCATGACAGATTAACTTTATAAATATGACAGAATCAGTCGGTCCTTATCTTCTTTTGAGTTCTATTTATACAACATGCAATCTCATTAAAATCAAATCTTAGTTCTCGCTATCGCTAAACAAAGCTCTGAAGACATCTCTTTACGGGTCACATCAGAATGACCTTTCATCCAACCAATCAGAGCGTCGCTTACCAGATCATGAAAGTGACAGTCGGAATGTGTTTTCTAATCATGCAACCACAAAATATTTAACACAGGGTATTCCCAGTTACGGGTTTTATGATTATATCCATACAATCTAGGCCATCTATAAGCCATTCCAGAATGTTCTTCTTATCAGTTTTAATTTTTTTAATTCGAGTATATGTCAAAATATGTTTCGAAGCGTAGTCGCCAGTGTGAAACTAGTGTTGTAAAGCTCGAGAAAGCTGCCTTCTGATTGGCTAATGTCGATT